CGGGGCGTGAGGCGATCCCCGCCAGCACTGGGAGTCCCTGGGTGCCTGCCTGGACCTCCCTCGGCCCATCGCAGGTTCCGTGGGAGTGGCTGGGCCAGCAGGGGGGGGCAGAGGTGATGGGCGAAATGGAGAGGGAATTGACCCCCCTACAGCATCTCAGGGGCTCGCTGCACTTTTATTCATGCTTTTGAGTCCCCAGCAAAGCATTGCACTTGTTTTGTTTCTTGATGAGATAGACACATGTGATCAAACATGGGCACTGCCCGAAAGGAGCTTAAACTTAGTGTCTGGGTCTAGGCTGGGGGTTAGAAGACCTCTCTGCATTTGCAACCATCTCTTTCCCGAATCCCCTTTTTAATCACCTCCCTCCCGCATTCTGCTTCCCCTTCCCCCTCCTCCTTTAAGTTTTGAATCCCCTCTCACCCGTTGGTGACCTTGCGCCATCACCTACCTGTTTCTCATATCTGCTTTCACGTGTTTCCCCCCAGACCCCTCCAGCAGTCCTGCACCGCCTAACGATGAAGACAGGTTCTGGGAAAGGTCACGAGAAATGCATGTTAGGGGATGGGTGGTGTGTGGCAGTCAGTGCGCTCACACACGGTACAGCCGACTGCACACCTAGGCTGCATTGTACGGCGTGGTCCTAGGCTAGGAGCCTGCACAGCAGGTTACTGTATAAAACAACGTAGATTAAATCAGGCACGAGAGACAGTGAGGGCATGAAGAGACTGGGTAAACGAGATGGATGAGGCTGCTAGTGTAACACAGCAGACTTTTAAAAAATAGGTATAAAGCGTACACTCTATACCATAACGATAAAAAGTGTAGTAAATTATGAACCATTAATATAGTCTTTTATTATCGAGTATTATGTACTGTATAATTGTATGTGCTCTACTTTTTTTATATGACTGGCAACGCAGTAGGTTTGTTTGCACCAGCATCACCACAAACACACCAGTAATGCATGTGTTACAGGGGCACGATGTCACTAGGTGATGGACAATTTTCAGCTCCGCAATTATCTTATGGAACCATGGTTGTGTGTGGTGCCTTGTCAGCTCAAACGTGGTTATGTGGCACAGGAGCTATCTTACAATATCAAAGGCAGAGTCATGTTAATCTCCCGATGGTAATCTCATTTACTCAGCTCGCTCTATTTCTATTCTTATTAAAAATCCCATTAAAGCTCTCAATCTTTGTATGACTAAATATAGAGATTACATTTAAATCTTTAAAATTTTCTTTTCCCCATACAACCTCTGCCATTTGGCACTGCTAACCTATCCCACCTTGTTGAACTCTTGAAAATACTCACCTGTGATGGTGCTCTCCCAGGTTTTCCTCCCAGCTCCCTAGATGCTACTGCCTAGTACAGTGGGGCCTTGACTTATGAGTGTCCCGACGAACGAGTTTTTTGAGATACCAGCTGTCTCTCCACCGATTTTTTGCTTGGAGTTGACAGAGTTATTTGAGTTAACGAGCTCCTTAACAAGCTCGGTCTCCGAACGAATTAAACTCCTAAGTCAAGACCCCACTGTAGTTCTATATGGGCATCTCTTCCTGGGTTTGTTTAAATGCTAGTGTTCTCTAATCTCCTACCCCCACCCGTAGTCACAGTTTCCACCTTTATGCCAATGATGCCCACGTTTATAACTACCCTCTGTAAATACCTACCATGTCCTCCTGATGTCCCATAAGCACTCAAAATATCCCAAACTGATCTGTCTTCATTTGTCCTACAATCTTATCCTTTAAAAATTGTGATCCCTGACCCAGAATGTCACCACTAATCTTATCAGGCTCCCAAACAAGAAATCTAAGGCACTGATGGAGTCTTCTGCACTCTGCAGTTCCTCAGTCTAATCAGCCACCATTTATTTTACCACCTTAATACTTTTACGTAGCTTTCTGGCATTTTAAGATCTGTTTCATTTCCACCTCCTCTTCCATGGGAGAGTCCTTCATAGTCCCTCACTGTGTTTGCTCACTCCTTCATGTAAATCACTTGGATGGCCTCTTGAAACTCCGCTGAAGTTGCAGCATCTGGTCGACTCTTCTTGAACCTACCATCCTACCATCTGATTTATGCCTGTCCTTTGTGGTCAGTCCCATAGCATTTATGTTTATCTCTAGCACAATGCCTCCCAACCAGGGGTGATTATGCCTCTCAGGGAGACATTTCTGATTGTCACAGTCTAGCGGGGAGGTGGTAATACGGGCACCTGCTCGGTAGAGGCCAGGGATGTTGCCAGCCATCCTACAATGCACAGGACAGTCCTCCCCTCCAATGAAGAATGGTTTGGCCCACGATGTCAATAGTCCCAAGGTTGAGAAACCTGCCTAACATAATATTTTGTTA